GGCTTGGAAGTAGCAAATTCCGACAGCAGCTACTTGCTGGCAAGGACTGTCCATGTCTCCTCTTTCGACAGTTTCTTAGAAGTGAAAGTTAGCAACAAATTTGGCACCATGGCATGCACCAGTACCAGTTTGCCACTGAATCAAATAAATATACCACGTGGGAGAATTGCTTGCCTCGTTGGTGGAGTCAGACACCCGATCTTCTGCATGAGGGCAACTCCCCTTGCCATTGCGCCATATCTTTCGGCAGTTAGTTATACATGCGTCAAAAAAATCAAAATTTTGAACAAAATCCACAAATTTTTTTTATAATACTGGCACTCTAATTTAGTTCGAAGAAACGAAAGGAAGTGAGAAGGTTGTGGTGGAAAAAAAGCCGAAATTGGAGGAACTCCCGGACGATGTAGCAGCACCAGAAGCTGCACCTACTGCTGTAAAACCAGCACTGTCAAATACTCCGCTGAACAAGTCGATTCGTGTGAAAAAAGAAGAGGAAACATCGGACGAAGTCACTGAAGCAGTAAGTTTTTCTCGTGTTGTTTTATTTACCGGGAAGGCTTTGCTCTAGGATTTTTTCTTTTTTTTTTCTTTTTTTGTGTGGATAACCTCCATCCAAGTACTTCCAACGCCTCAATGGGAGAATTTTTACAAAAACTTTGAGTTTCAAGAAGTTGGACCTGTTCCAAAATTTTTTTTCAAGTTCCATCGATATTTTATGGAAAATTTAATGCGTCGGAAATTTTTTCAGTGCTTGAAAATTTCAGCATTTTTTTAAAAAATTGAAAAAATTGGTCTTGCAGGAGCTGAAAAGCAAAGAGTTGATGTACCAAGCTCAAATGGCCATTGAAGAACGGAAGCGGCAATTGAATTTGACGGCCAGACCGGGGATTGTTGCACAGTCTCTGATTTCAAAAGCATCAAAGCTAAATACAAAAGAAGCTAGCATGTTTATGAGTTATTCAATTGAGAAAATTAACAGGTTTTTTTTCAAATTTTTTGCTGTGTTATTAGCATTTATAGAATCTTAATGCTTTGATCAACTGTTTTTTCATTGTCATTTTTTTTTTTATGACCGTATTGGTTTAAGTGGCAGTTTGTTTCCAAGCAACCTTTGAAAGAACAAACTTCGACATTTTTTTTCGAGACATGATGGATTTTAGCTGTTTTCTTCACTTTCCAGTGCTGCTGCTACTTGTTTAAGGAGGAAGGTTTTTTACCCTGATTTGAAGTATTACTCCAGGTATATGTTAGGAAAAAAAATTTTTTTTCGAAAATTTGTAGCCCATTGAGTTATGACTTAATCTGCATTCTGCATTTTCAGGGTAAAAGAGCTCAAGGAACGGTTGGCGGAACGTACAGCCGCGCTTCCTCAACTAGCGAAAAGCGATTTGGGTGATGGAGTTCTGTCGAAAGCAAAACCTGCGGAAGCCGAGCCATCAGAACCAAAAATCAACGAATATTTGGATCCACGCATTAGGTACGTCCAGCTTATTTTCATCATTTTTTTATCGAAGTTATTTCTGCACATCTGTTTTTTTTTTTGCTATAAAATTTTAGATTTGAATTTGATATTATTTTTCAGTATGAAATCAGCCAATCGAAAACAGCGTACAATTGTTTTTCATGAAAAGGGTGAATTTGAAAAACTGGCGCAACGTGAGAGGGCTAAGGCACGGCTGGCAATACTGCAAAATGAAATTACGCAAATAGCCAAGAAAACTGGGCTTTCGTCATCGGTGAAGCTGGCCATGCTTACACCGTCATCCTCCACAGCGGTAAGTTACGAAAGCATTTCAAATTGTAACTGGGAGTTTTTTTTTTGTTAATTTAAAAAAAGCCATTGGCCAATTGGAAGTGACATTTTGCTTTTATTGTACTAACATAGGGGCCGATTTTTTTTCCTTTTGACGGTTTTGTTACCCTTGCTATCTTCAGTTTATGTTTCCATCATTTACCATAATGGGACGGTAAAAAGAGCAGAAATGT